AAATTGTGCACAACCCCTGGTAAAGCGCATTTTTTTAAAACACCCCTACGAAATTTCTTCCATAAATAAGAAAGTTGGCACTGTACATCCTACATAAAACCAAATTTGAAAAATGGCGCTACATTTGCTTTATTCCAAGTGGCTATGTATCAAATTTCATTTAAATGCCTCCATGAATAAGAAAGCACTGCGCATGCGCAAAACCAAATTTTGAAACTGGCGTTAAATTTAGTTTTATTCCAAGTGGATATGTATCAAATTTTATTTAAATTAAATGCCTAATGGTTATATTTCTTCCAAACGTCCCAATCGCCCTTTGTAGGTACTTTCCTTTGACAATTCACTCTTAAGATATAAGGAATTATAACCGATCACGACAAGGGATCGAGGAGGATGACTATCGTTAGTATAAATTAATTCCTTTCGTTGAGACCTTTCATTAGAGTACCGAGAAGGAAAACTAGTTCCACTCCTCCCCCTTCCCCCTCCACTCCGTAGTTTGATAAGAGGACAGAAAGAAGGGCAGTAGTTTGTTCCTTTCGTTGAGGCCTTTAATTAGAATTCAATGAGAGATGAAATTAATTTTTAACCCCCCCCCTCAGGCCGCTTCGCTCATTGATCTCGAAAAAGAGTCGCACGGGAAAGTTATATAGTTTGTACAAATCAATTTATTTCGATGAGACCTTTCATTATAATACCACGAAAGGTAGAACATGTGTTTACCCCCCCCCCCCCCCCCCCCCCCCCCCCCCATTTTCTAAAGTATAACTTGGCGCCATTAAAGGCATTCGTATGCAAAATCTGAGACCAATTTGTTGTCGTATGTAAAAGCTATTGCCGTTTTACTTTCAAAAACAGCATCTCAGGAAATAATTCGTGCGGGGCCCCCCCTTTTATACAGCGAAATTTGATGTCCATCTGGCACACCTTCAAGGTATAAGCTACCTACTGCAAAAAATTCCAGGACGGACGGACAAAACGCATACATGGCACATTTTTTTTAATTCTTAAAAAATGCGCTAAAAAACTGAAGAGCGCCTCATGCGTAATAAATCCCATATGAAGCGGGCAATTATCGCTCAATTACAGTGATAATTTCCCTCTATGTGAAAGATCCCGGCAATAATTTCTTATAGGCCCCGTGTCTATAGTAACAAGGCAAAATAATTTCAACGAGTGCTTTCTGTGCTAATGAGGTTTATGCTAATTTGAAATAAATCAAAGATTCTAGAAATATTGTGCCGAATTAGACTCGTTCTTTAAAATAAACCTGATAATTTTTGATGCAAGCAAGTGTTAAGTAAAAGACTGCATTTGGTTATTTCCATACTTTGTTTCAAACACGAGCCCTTGGTCAAAATATGAAAATAGCTCATGTAGTTTTTAGACAACATGCTTTCAAAAAATGTATTATTATGATGCACTTGCGTGTAATTCCTACTTGCGAAAATTTTAGATTTTCCAACGCATGCATTTGTTTCTAAAACATTTACCTACTACCTACTACAAAACGCTTATTGTTTACTGAAGAACAATATGAATTAAATTATTTTTCATTCGAGGCGGCAATTACAAAATACGAATAGTAAAAATATAACGCGATAATAATGCCATCTTTCATATAGTGGCTGAACTACGAAACAGTACGGACTGATAAAATTTTACAATTAATGGACATGGGTGTGTGTCTGCGCTTCATTGTATTTTGTATCTCGCAATTCCAACAATTACGACAAAATGGTGCAATATATCAACAAACAAAGTATATTAGGTTCAACACTGAACCTTCTAGATCAATATCAGCTAATATGTAACTGTAATTTTGTTAAATAAAAGCAGGATTGTTGGAATGGCGATGGTCTGTTTTTGATGCGTTCCGGCGGTCTTAAGAAAAACATAGATTGTAGAACGACACAAGGTGTGCTGTGACCAGCAATCTTTCCTGGCGTTATACCAAAGAATAACCATAATACCTTTTGGTTATACATAAGTCAAGCCCATAAACTAAAATTGTTTTATAATTCCTTTTATTAAATTTCGGTGATATTATTAAAATATAATAATACCGTAAGACTACTTTGGACAGTTTTTGAGGTTTTTTTTTCTTTTTTTTACCTTATTTTATTTCGAATAGAAACCAGGTTTTTTTTCGTAGGTTACTACACCGTTCCGCTATGACTTGCTGAAAAAAATAGTTTTTTTTTCACTGGTAGGTATATATATTTTTTTTAAATTTTGAAGTGTCCGAATTTACCTACATATGTGGGGGTAATTTCGGACATATATTTAAAAATGCATAAAATTGAAGTTCTACGAGTTAAAAAGTAACTTCGGGCACAAATATAAGTTTTTTTAAAAAAAAAGGTTGTTTTCACATAGAAAACAAAAAATACAAAAATTCTTCAAATTATTTAACGTGCTTTATTTAAAAAACATTACTATCAAAATTATCAGTTATTATTATTATATAACAAGTATAAACTAAAAATCATTTTTATATAACAAGTATGAAACTAAAAATCATTTTCTTACAATAAACAAAAATAAAAAACTCTTGATATATCACAAGTCATCACTCGTTTTTGGTTCAATAATAACGTTGTCTTACTGTAGAACAATCTTTGGCGCGTTAGAGAATTTATATCGTTCCCTTCGTAAAGGCACTGGATTGAGGATCTCAAAAATATCATGACCCTCAATATAGCTCTGGTCAGGAACATCCGGAAAGTGAAAGTAGGTATCTTTCTCAGTCTTTTTTTTTCTTAAAAATCGCCGTCCTGGATTTTTATCATGAGTCCTTTTAACTTTGTCACCAATTGGCGATTTTGGAATCCCATAAAATTCCGACGCCTCTCTTATGCTCTTTTTGTTAGATTTAACATCTGCTACTGCTGCTCTTAACACTTCTACCGAATAAGCACCATTGTCCGAAGTTACCCTTCAAAAGGTGATTTTTTTGGTTAGGACGATCTGAACAAAAACAATGGACTAATCAAAATCTACAAATTACACGAAACATTCCTAACATACAAGCTTTCCAAAAAGTGGAAAAACTACGACTCTATCATTAATAGGTTTCGGTGTACGCAAGTTACTTTTTCCACTTTTAAAATAGTCAAAAATTGCTTACTTACGGAAACCGACGTAAAAAATCGTTGGGTGCGAAAAAAACATCCGTACTCATAAAACGTTCAAGGGCAACTGTTTCAAACACTCTCTTCTCATCAGGTGACCCCATGAATAATTTCACTGCCACCCCATAATTTTTACATGTTAAACGGTCCCGTTGTCCGAATTTACCCGAGCTGTCCAAAGTAGCCCCGTCTTACGGTAACTATTATAATTGCGTTTCGTAGTTTTAATAAAACTATCACAGTGACGTAGGTACCAATGAGAACTATTTCGTTTTTTCAAGTCAAAGGGTTTCCTTCGTGATCAATACAAAACTGTTTATATTATGTTATGAATAACGATATATAAATAATAAAATCGCAATTATTGCAATGAAAAAAAATGATCAGTTATTAGTTTGTAATAGGTATAGGCACTCCTATTTGCTAGGCAATTACCGTATAAAAGTCGCGTGGGCTTTTAAAATGTATCAGGGGCAACAAATCTGTTTTATTAGAGTCGCCAAAAAGTCGCGATTAGCAAAAAAGTTAGCAATATTAGGGCATTTCGAAACCGACGTGCGCGGTTTTGTGCACTCGTGCGTGCTGTGCTCCTCACCGCACATCACGCATTTGGGCGTTGCGTGGCAGTTGCGTTATGCGTGTCCGAACAGTTGGCATCTGTGGCACTGGATCAGTTCCCATTTTGATGCGGAGGCTTTCCACTGATAACCTGTAGAAAAATTCAAGTTTTCTAACGATCGACTTGTAACCCTGCCCCACTTCTGCAAGAACTTGGGGTTGCCTTTCGTTCGAGATACTTTCGTCACCGGTTACCTTTCCTTTTCAAATCTTCTTCGATTTCCTCTTTGCTGGTCTTGGTCGTAATTTCGTAACTGAAAGGTGTAAAATTCGGTGCCGTTGTCCTTTAAAAGTTTAAATAGTTTTCTGTAATCGTTTTCCGTCGAGAGTTCCACCTGCATGCCTTGTGCAATTAGCTTCACCGTTTCGCATCGCCGTCGATATTGGCGTCCATTTTTCATTTTCAGCTCTTTTGTGGTGTTGATATCTCTTCAGCCGTTGTCGTTTTTCCCTTGCATGATTTTGGGTAATTTCTTGTCTTCGGGATGCTTTCGTCGATGTCTTGAGTTTGAATTTTGGTTTTCATGTCGTCCTCGTCGTTTTCGTCCCTCAGTGTTTCGAACCTATTTCCTGTTATAATACTTCATACCAGAAATAACTGGTGTCTATTTTATGGCACTCAGGGGTATAACCCGAGCCTTTTCAGGGCGGGTGCTGTTAAGAAGGTGAGAATTTTCATAGTGTTACTCAAAAGTGCGAACTTTTAGGACCTGAGCAACCAGAGTATACGTATTTTCCCGTTTTTCGTTTAGAAATACACAGCAAAAATAGTTTTTGAAAAAAATTATTCCGCCTTTCTCCTACTCCTACTTTTCGAAAAAACAAAAAATGAAGAAAAATTTACTGAATCAACTTTCTTATTTGTGGAGCGATTTTTTTTAAGTTTCAGCAGTCACTCCTATTAAAAGCAAGTCGATTCCTTAGGCAAACATGTCAATAGTCGAGTGCGTTGCGCTCAGAACTAATTATCCTATTGGTAGCGCGATCTTTTTAAAATTGTAACCCCACCTCTCGGTAATAAGAGCAAACTAATCGCACGTGGGAAAGGGGGGAGGGGGCAAATTTCAAATGTAAATATCTCGAAAAAGAAATGGTGGAAGAGGTTACTTACAAAGGGAAATTGATACATATCGAGTTGTCAACGTAGCTCATCCGTCGGTGGGGTCAAAACAAATGTGAATCACTAAAACCACAGGTAAAATACCCAGTAAAACGGAATGGCGGAAGGGGGTATTTACAAAGAAAGAATGACTGGTATAGATACTATTATTATCACACTGTACACAAATTAATACAATAATTAACGAAAGAAAGGAAGGAACATAATTTACTAAGCATGCAGTTAAATTGAGGTACAGTACAGCATGTACACGGTTTCCAGTTAGTGACTACTGTTATTGGTTAGAAATGTTTACTAAAACTTGAACCATAATTTGAGTGTCGCTCAATCCTTTTTTCTTCTGCGCTTTTAAATAAATTGTTCTAGTCATACCTCTTGCGTTCTATATGCTACAGTATTACAATGTAACAATAATATTTAATTGCTGACCTATCAATACTGACGGTGGATTTATTTGTACAAAACATACATGTACTTTACAGATTTGTGCTTTTCCTCGGCGCCGGGATAGTCAAATTTATAAACGTCCCTCAAATCTGCGTATGAAATTTCATTCAAAACGTTGTATCCAGCTTTCTCCGCTAACACTTGAGAAACGGTCGATGTGAATAACGTTATGGCAGCTTTAACTTTAAGAGCTTTGCACATCTCTTGCCTGCAACATGCTGTGTTAGAAATGAAGATACGTTATTAAAATAACCAATTAAATATTATCTTTTCCGTTTTGATCATTTCATTTGAGAAAACCCTCTCAAAGTCAGTTTTTTTGCGTGTTTATTCTTTAATTGACCCAACTTTACTATAGTGCTAGGCAGTGATTTCCGTACTTATTTTCAATGGTCAATTAAACAGATAAACTGCGCCAATCTTTCCTATGGTATAAATATCATACCTGGCCAACAACATTTCAAGTCCTATACCTTGCCCCCTAAATTCGGGAAGCACGTACAATCCCAAAGACGAAAGAAATGCGTCTGTTCCAAAAAATTCGTAAAGGTCTGTTTTGTTAGCCGCCGCGACTAACGTTCCAAATATTTGGAGTACGGTTGTACCTGAAAACTAAATAACATTGATTATGAGGTGAGGTGGAATATTCAAAATTTAAACTACCAGCACCTGTTCCATACACCAAAGGTTTTAGTGTCCGAAAATAGAAAACGTTCATTTCGAAAGTCAAATGAGGGAAAAACTCACTTTATATTCCGGTTCGTGTTTCTTTTTGATATGCATACAATTAACACCTGCAAAAATGGGTTTTCCACGGGGATCTGAATTCTCCTTGTAGCATGCAAGTCCCACTCTGTTATGCAACATGTAAATCCACAAATTTCTCATGTCCTCAACCGATTTCGGATCCTTAAGCATGCCTACGACCAATTTTGACAAAAGTTGGCGATTAGGAGTTTATAACAACATACCAGAATACTTGGTAAGTGGTTCTTCCGTACAGAAGCGTTCAACCATGCAGTTGACGACGTTTTGAAATTCGTCTTCTGGTACGTCTTGTATCCAAAATGATGGTATCACTCCGTTAATCTCTTTGCGACCCTTGAAACGCTTCCAAACGTTAGGATACGGTATTGTTTCTGGTCTCGGCCATCTAGCACTTTCGGCGGGCATTCTGCAACGAATTGGCGTAGATTGCAAGGTTATTTCTATATATACCTTTGATGCCCAGAACACAGTGGTGCTGGAGATACAGTCATTTAATTGAAATTATAGTAATGTATCCTCAATTTAATACGAAAGGTCGTCAAACGTGTGACTTACGTTTCATTTCAGCAGTGGCGTTTCGAATCTGAAAAGGGTGGCGTTCTCAAACCCAATAAATTAAATAACGCATGCTTCAAATTCCAGCATTTTGGGAAATTATTTTTCGATGTGTTATTTTGAGTGTATGCATGTCCGCCGTTTTTGTGTTGTCCCAAAACTTTTTAGTAAATACGGCGCGTTTGTTACGGCACTGCAGTATGCAAGGTAAAGTAATACGACAGTAATCACAAGACACGCATTTTAATCTCAGGTATGTTATACTTCTCAAATTTCGTATACAAATGGGTGAATTACTAAGAATTATTTTTATTTACACTTTTGTTCATAAGTGCAAGGTTGTCTTTAAACACAGCAAACCAGACGAGAGTCACGTGTAAACGAAGATGGTGCATCCTATAAAAAGAGTGAGTGGACATAGTTTACATTGGTCTGTGACTTACATAGCCTTAGCCATGCTTCCTTGTTTTTTTGTAGTCTACCAACTGAACTCAAATTGCACAGCCCGAATTTAAAATAGTGATACGGCATGCAACACGAACTATTTCGCCAATTACAACATTCTAAATAATATAGCTAGTGCTAGTCAAATTTAGGGTCCCATATGTTTATTTGAACCAATAAAACGTTGCTTATTGTTCTTCTGCTTCCGCCGTTTCTGAACTAGTGATACAATTTTTTGTGGTGATTAGTGGTAAAACAATGTGCACTCAAACATTTTTCACTTGAACAATTCGCACTTAGATAGTTGGTACCCGGATTCCTAGGACCTAATCATTTCGTTCCTTGGACATTTCGATTCCGAAGCGCATATTTTACAGTAACGCATTTCAAAAAATTGAAAGAGAGATATACACTATTGACTATCGTTCGTCTGTTTTTATCATAAACAAGCTATATTTTTATAGATGAAAGTTAGTAGGCCCAAAAGTAACTTTGCGACGAACTTCGGTAAAAGTCCGGCCACAAATATCATGAAAAATGAAATACGCATTAGCGCAATAATAATTATAATTTATAATTTACGGGAAGGATAAATAAATTTACAATAGTCACTAAAGCAGGCGAGGAGACGATAGTAACAACAGCCGGATTGTTGGCGAAACGGACAGACGGGCAGACGGACTCGAGCTCCACCAGGAGTATGGCCTTGCCCTGGTCAAGGTCGGCGTTAGCAGCGGTTTGGCGGATCGATCCCGGAAGCTTCGGGCAAACTCAATGAAATAAACGGCAGCTCCAGGTATTCTAAAGGGCAAGCGATGCCACTGGTGAGTAATGAAACAAAATTAAAGCGCACAGCAATTCCCGTAAACGGGTACAAAAAATAATCGGATTCCGTAGCGGTGCAAGAAAAAACAAAAGATGTAGACACGTTGCGGTAGACTTAATGTGAAAGCAAAAATGAAACGGTATTATTCCAAAATAAATTTACGAAAAAGCTCAAAATTATGGTACTTACAAAACGTAAATGCAAAAGGTAGAAATATACCCTCTAAACCACTGCTTTACCTTCGGAGTCGCCGGCAGAATGCTCGAAACTGGTCTGAGGTAATTCTCATCTTTGCCACAGATGAAAAATTCACCTAAACAGCCTCAACCAAGATTCGAACACCCTACCTCCGGATTTATAGCCCAACGCTTTGCCATTGCACCACAAAGTCGCTATGAAGCTGTTGTGCTTTTTTTGCCATGCATACTTCATAAAAAAGAAATAGAATTAAACACCAGTTACGTGCCACCAGCGACTTACAATATTCAACATTAGGTAAATACAATATATTGTAATCTACCTTGGAGTTTAATGGTATACTGTCAAATTGTTTTTTATTAGGACATATAATTTATTACTAATAGATTTTGTACATGTATTTTAAACCTGTGTGCTTTTCTTCTATACCGGGATACTCGTACTTGTGGATATTTCGTAGATCCTCAAACGAAATTTCTGACAGAAGTTTAAATCCTGCTTTCTCGGCTAGATACTGAGAAACGCTGGACGTAAATACAGTTACGGATGCTTTAATCCCTAATGCTTTGCATATATCCTCCCTGGAACAAGTCGATATTATACTTCATGCATGCTATTTTATTATTTATACAAGACGATAAAGGGATTGATTGCGTGAAAGATGTTAATTCACGAGATGGTTAGTTGCCCTTTATCGTCATGTGTAATACAAAACTTTATTTTATAGCAAAAGCCATATAAATCATTGTAAAACTTCTGACAATTCTGAATTTAATTTAGGGATGTCAAAAATAGCAAGCTTAGGTTCTGCCGTCGCGACCGTTTCCATAGAAACAGAATTGTCATATACTCTGAACGTCATTTTTATATTGTGCATTTGAAATAAGAACGACATATGCCATTAGAGTGCACAGTCATCTGTTTCACTTTATCTACCCGTTAAAGTGGTCACTTTATCTATCCTTACGGTTAAAGAACGACTTATCCTACTCATTCAAACCTATTAAAATGTCAGATTAATATATGCTATAAAATAAAATATCAAAGTGCATTTCACTAAGGTAGTAGCTACGAATATATCTTTCGTTTTAGAATATCACGGATGAAATGCTGAAGGAGAAAAGCTGTAGGGCAATTACACTAGGAATGCTGGAAAATATGTAATAGTCCAGGCTAAACAGCTCTAAAATAATTTATCCAAAAAAAATTAGTTACCGGGCGAAACCGGGTTTTTCAGGCAGGTGAAATGAATACAAATTGGGAAAAAATAATTAAAACAGCTGAATTTTTCCGCGGGTGAAATCCCGGGGGTTTAAAGGGGTGGAAAGTGGTGTTTTGCAAATTGTGGAAAAATTATTAATTTTAGACGGAAATGTTAAATATAAAAGCTATAGGGATTAAAAAAATAAGCAACTTTTGGATCTGCACTATTTTCACATAACCGCCAATTTTGCTAGAAAAACCGGAAAAACTGTTTTTTTGGTTTTTTATTCTTATTTTTGCGAAAAAATGTCGTAGAGGTTTAAAACTTGGAGCAAACAGCTTGTTTTATGATAAAAAAGAAGATCATTTGTTGGGCCTGTAAAGTTGAACCCTTTCAAGATACCACGATTTCTGAAAAAAACCACCTATTTTTCTAGGGAATGAAAAATCTATTTTTTTTTCATCGTACAGAGGTGCGCGGGGTAGCAAAATTTTCGTAACCACTTACATTTTAATAAACAAAAATAAAAAATATTATTCTAATAGAAAAATTTTATGAAAAGCGGCAAAAACGGGGGGAACAGTTTTAATATATACCGTTTTTGACAGTAGGTAAATAGCTTTTTTTGCAAATAAATTAACGTATTGGATCCGCGCTAATAAAAAGTTTTTGAAATCTGTCTTCTCTCCCCTCTTTAATGTTGCTAAAATATTTTCTTTTGTTTCCCAGTGCCCAACTGCCTTAATTAAATCTTTATTATTTCTTTTTTCTGCATTCGCAATAAAAGTAATTTGAAGTAAAATCGAATTATTTTGCTTCCCGAACAATTTGTTTTTGTTTACTAACTCCTGCCTGTTTTACAGCTGATGGGATTAAGCTGGGCCTGTTGATCGTTAATTTACAGGAATTATGAATAAAATCCTCACGAAGTTTATTCCAGGTTTACATCTCAAATCAATTGCTTTGGCCGGTAAAACTAACGTTGAATTGCAGATTTTGTTAGTTTATCAACAGGCCCAACGCAATTGCATCAGCAATAAAACAGCCAGGAAGAAGAGTCAATGAACAAGAAGAAATTGTTCAGGACTCAGGAAGCAAGATAATCCGATTTTATTTCGAATTGCTTTTATTGCGGTAAAAATGCAGAAAAAAGAAATAATAAAGATGTTTTAACTAAAACAGTTGAACATAAGATAACAAAAGAGAATATTTAAGCAAACATTAAAGAGAAGCAAGAAGACAGATTTCGAAAAAATCTTTATTAACATCCAACATGTTGATTTATCATGTCAAAAACCGTGTATATTTAAAACTGTTTTTCCGTTTTTGGCGATTTTCGAATTTTTTGCTATAGGAATAATATTTTTTATTTTTGTTTATTAAATATAAGTCTCCCGAAAATTTTGCTGCCAGTTTTCGCCCAGTAACTAATTTTTTTTTAAATATTATATAGCCTGGAATAGATTATGAATTTTATTCAAGAAAGCGAATTATGCGTTATTAATTTTTAGTGAACCGCATCTCGACGCATACTGTATACTATCCATTATCTTCAACCCGCATTCAATCACTAGGAATTCCTTCGCAAATTGCTCATTACACCAGTTAAGGAAATGGAGTTTTCTTCAAATCAAAATCCTAGAATGTTGAACTTTCTACAGCGTGATTAATGTATGTATTATATGTATACAGGGCGGCTTATTTACCGTGCACTGGGATCATTTTGGTTTTTTTCTATTTCTTATGAAAGTAAACTAGGTTAAACCGCACATCAAATCTTGATAGATCTTGTTAATATGGATAACAGATGGTTAAGCTAATGTCGCAAATTGACAATTTTTATAAACTAATCGACGTGTTTTTGTCATAATAAGATCATATACATTCATGCATGCATGACAAATACATAGTCCTACACTAACACCATCCAAAGCTGATCAGTTTAAAAACAAAAAGTCCCATTTTTATTACCTGGCATTTAAAAGTTCCAATCCCAGACCTTGTCCCCTAAATTGTGGTAAAACATATAATCCCAATGCAGACAGTAGGAAATCCGTTTCCAAAAATTCGAAAGCATTCTTTTCGTGCATTACCACGTTTAACGTTGCAAAAATGTGTTGCAATTTACTACCTGTAATCTAAATAGGAATATTGCGGTATGTTCTTTTGATATAAAAGCTCACGTCCATTTCTTCTTCGGACTTCTTCTTGATATACGTACAATTAGCTGCAGTCAAAATCGGTTCTCCATTAGGATCCGTATTTTCCATGTAGCACGCAAGCCCTACATTATCGAGCAGTACCAACCTCGCCGCTTTTCGTGAAGATTCAACGGATTCGGGATCATTAAGGCTCTGTAGTCAATCCGCCATATTGGAAAAATAGCTAAACTTTCTTATGAAATGCTGCTTTTGTAGTTGAAGTCTAACAAATTCTCGATAGTGGATATTCTTTGCAATGATGAAAAGAACGGCGGTACTTAAAAAAAGTTGAAATATCGGTCTTAGTTTTTTAGGAAGATCGTTGAATAGAAAAATCGTTTTTCGTAAATAACAGCCGTTGTAATGGGAGTAGAAAAACCTACAGCACCAATTTGGAAATCCGACAGTATTTTTTACGGCGGTACTTAAAGATATTATTTCTATCTTTTATGATAAGGCATATATTTTAAAAAAATAAGTTCCGCGATTTTCAGAAAAGAGCGCAACGTTAACATAAAGGTAGGCAACTCAAATTGCACTTAAACCCCTAAGGCGATATCTCATTACTTGCAAGGGAAAACAAAAGAAACTACCTGGCATTATCCTGGCACATTGTTACCTCGTTCCTAATGACATGGATTAGATAAACTACTATATAATTAGCTAATGTTTATTTTTATTTTTATAGAAATACTTTTTTATTTCTAAAACATTTTTCATTCTATCTAGATTCTTCAAGAAATTTGTTTAGGAAGATATCAAATAGTAGCCCCATTTTTTAGCTCAACCCAAGCGGAATACGACCACTTATGTGTTTTAGATACATAGTGAGACGATTATACCAATAATTTGGTGGCTTCTTGTCGCAATTCAGGTGTGGTGTAAAAATGTGACTCCTTTTTGTTTTTTTAACATTTTGTACCATGAAACTGCTTATCTACGTGCATAAAAACATTTAAAAAAAATGTGGTAGGGCAGGACAAACGCATGACCTCGACATAAGGAGAAAGCACAATACCACAATTCCACAAAATACATCAGAAGTTTCAATTAGCATCAATTCAAAAGTAAAGTTTGTCAAGTTAGCGAGACACCACCAAAATGAATATCCGTATCAAAAAAAGCGGCATAATTCGTTGGTTTTCCCGGTAATAGTGGCAGATATAAAAAATTCTCGCACTTTTAACAAATTTCGGACTATTTACTTTTTCCGTTTGAGTACCTATGCCTTTTGATAGAGTCCCGCAATCTTCACATCAACTTTGCTGCGATTTTTTTAAATTTCCATTACTATGTGGCAACAGAAAACGGTATGTTCTATACTGTGTACTTATTTTTAGCGGATTTTTTTAAGAAATAAAAAAATGTGTAATTGTTTGCGTTTTGCCCGTCCGCCCGGGCCCACTTTTTTTAACTACTATTAGGGGAATGGTAATATATATAGTCTTGGAATTTTTTGCAATAAGTAGCCTATACCTTGGAGGTCCGCCAGACGGCCATCACTTTTAGATGTTTTAAGGCCCCCCTCTTTTTTACCCTTATCAAAATAGGGAGTTCGGGGAAGAGAGGGACTAGTTTTATCCATACTCTAATGAAAGGTCTCAACAAAAGGAATCCATTTTTACCTCTTCGACGCTTCATCGTGATCGGTTATAATTTTTATCTCTATAGCGAATTGCCGGAGGAGGTACTCACAAAGGGCGATTGGGACGTGTGGAACAAATATATCCATTGGTAAGATCAACACGATAAGAGCGAATACAGTTTGTCGGAGGAGAGGCAGAATGAATCGTCTGGACGAGACATCTATTGATGAAGTCGAAGCGAATATCTTGACAACAGAAGAGCCTTATAACCCAACTATTTACTAAGCTATTTCGGTTTAAAAAAATGCACTTTATCTGCACAAGAGTTGTGCACAATTTATAATTGTTTCAATATGATCTGATATCAACAAGGATGAATACTTGGTCGTCAAAGAAATAGAGGAATGCCCAATTTCAATTTTCACTACTGAATTAAGGATTTAAAAAACCGAATTATGATACCGCACAAACGATGCCAATATCGATACTTACAGACCAAAAGGTGTAAATTCGATTGCTTGATGTCCATGTGATATCTCATGCTTTTTGGTGCCGAATATGGTTCTACCCATAAAAATGGAAGATAGGTTGCAATGACAATATGTATAGACATGTGTTATTGTGTTAGTTACATTTTTACCAGCAGTTTTGTCTGTTCGTAAAAAACCTTCATGGGCCGTGCATAAATAAAACGAATACGCTAACTGTACAATTATTTTTTGAAAAGATAAGAACTTTTTTTTAAATAAGTAAATAATAACCTATTAATTATAAAAATGTCTAAATCAAAGTTGATCAGTAAAATTGATTAAAACAAATAACAGGAAATAATAATAAGGTGTAATTAACTAACAATCTATTGGGAAATGTTAGCAAACATTGCGAATTTTCTCCACTAATTACCTTAGAATCAAGTAATTTACAGAAGATCTCATTATAGACAAATGGAGTAAAAGGAACAGGTATTTGTGTAGCTTTATTCAAATATTGACTACACCTTTTCAATAAACTTGTTTACATAATTAGTCCTTGATCATTATACCTGGTCTATTGTGTTTAACAATAAATGAAGAAAATATGCAAAACTGAAAAGGATAGAAATATACCGTTTTCGCACTCCACGAATATACGTAGAAATGTGTATTGTTGGTGGTCTAACCAATTGCAATAACATTGAAATGCAAATTGACTACAGAGGAGCCTTAATATTTCGATACTAAGCATACTGAAATACAGTTCATGTAGAGTTAAGGTCACAGAAATCCACACATCATTTTGTACAAGGTTATTATGAATCATTTCGTACAATTTTGCGCAGTCACTATACCTACTTTACATTATTTAACATATACGTGTAAAGTCCTACGTGGGGCCCGTATCATTAAAAAAAATGTCGACTATAGCGAACTAATTAGAATTATTGAATAAAATTAAACAATTATTAATTTAATATGGGACAAATTTCGTTGTTGTCCGAGTATAACAAAGACATGGAATTCGGAACAGAAAACGATGATAAATAGCGGGTGCGGGTACGATAGTTTTGCTCAAAAAAGATATCAGTTTTAGGGGATGATTTTTAGGGTGTAAGTGCACCCGCGTAAGTGAGACCAATTGGGACGTAGCGGTCATTTGCGAGTGGCGGTCAACTTTGCTACTACCAAATCTTATATTTGAATGTCACTTAATTAATTTATATACATGTGTCCCATTTATCTTTAAACAGTCGATTATTGTTGAAATAAGAGGGGATATAAAAAAATGATTTGTATAAAATATTTATCATATGGAGCCCCCCGTTTAATGATGCTATGCACATTTTCACGTTACTATCTAAGTGTAGAGCAACTTAATTTCTTCCAAATGGTAACCTGTACTTTTATTGAAAATTCTTATTTTACATAGGAAAATAATAAACGTTCGTGGTAAACGCCTATTTCCTACGCTTACCATTTTTTGAAGACGCTCTTCCAAAAGCGCGATTTTTGATTTGAGGTATGAAGCTGTTGTGTGAAGAATTTGCCACTTGTGCATACTTCACGAAAAGTGCCACCGGCGACAATATTCAACATTAGATACAATACATTGTAATATACTTGGACTTTAATGGTGGCTTTCCTAACTAGTAAATAGTCAAACTGTTTATTATTAGGTCATATAATTTACCTATTACAAATAGATGTTGTACATGTATTTTAAACCTTTTTGCTTTTCTTCTATACCCGGATACTCGTACTTGTGGATATTTCGTAGATCCTCAAATGAAATTTCTGACAGAAGTTTAAATCCTGCTTTTTCGGCCAGGTACTGAGAAACACTGGACGTAAACACAGTTATGGATGCTTTAATCGCTAATGCTCTGCAAATATCCTCCCTGGAACACAAATAGAAATACAAATAGTTGTCCTGCATTCAGCATGCGGTGGGCCAATCAAACTGCATTCCACTCAGGTATAGTACCTACATCTTTCGTTTTATAGGAACATCACTGATCATTGATTTCGGTGTAGATAACTTTATCACGACGAATTTAATATGATAAAGGAGAAAAAGCTGCAGGAAAATTACACCAGGAATGCTGGAAAAGGTGTACCTCCTATATGAATTTTCTTGAAAGGAGCGAGATATTAATTGCATAATTCTTACATTGAATAAAACACTATCTGGATAGCAGATAACAGATTTTTTTTCAATTTATTTGAAATCCAACAAGCAGGACTTTTGATAAAGAATGACTTTTTCTCGAAAAATGAAATAAATGGTCCATTATAGGTATAGTGAACCTGATCTTGACGCATACTGTATTACCTTATCTTCAATCCGCAGACCGTATTCAATCAATAGGAATTCCTTAGCAAATTGATTCATTACACTACTTAAAGTACTTTGTTCCAAAGGAAATGGAGTATTCCGCAAGGAATAATCCCAAATAGAACACATTTTCCAAAACGGCGGTTATAACCACCACGTCTTGGATAAAGTTTCTTCATATTCTTCTAGAATGTTGAATTTTCTACATTATGATTAATGTAGCCCACAGGGCGGCTTATTTACCGTACCGAGCACTGGGATCATTTTCGTTTTTTTCCATTTGTTATGAAAGTAAATAGGTTAAACCGAGGGTTAAACTGTATATCAAAAAACCTCACTTTATGCTAAAATAATGGAGAGGTTCTGTTTAAAAAGATTATTGATCACTTCATAGATCTGTCAAATATGGATTAAAAATGTTCAAGCTAATGCCATAAAATGACAATTTTTATACACTAATCGACGTGTTTGTGCATTTTTTTGAAAACACAACCAGAAAAAAGATGCGAATTTCTTGGACATTGGAAGCTATCTATCTGATAGGAGTGTAACTGATGAAAGATTGTATCTAAGTGGAGTAGAGAAGGAATTACTTCTTCATGATCCATTTATGCGAAATGCGTAAGGGTGTCTTATAATATAAGATCCAGTCTAAAATACATTCATACATACCCGACAAATACGACTACACTAACACCATCCGAAAATTCCTCATGTTTATTACCTGGAATTTAAAAGTTCCAATCCCAGACCTTGTCCCCTAAATTGTGGTAAAACATATAATCCCAATGCAGACAGTAAGAAATCCGTTTCCAAAAATTCGAAAGCATTTTTTTCGTCCATTAACACATTCAAGGTTGCAAAAATTTGTTGTACTTTACTACCTGTAATTGTAATCTAAATAGGAATATTGCGGTCGGCCCTTTTATTATAAAAACTTACATTCACTTCTTCTTCATCGCATTTTTTGATATGCGTACAATTAGCTGCAGCAAGAATCGGTTTTCCATTAGGATCCAAATTTTCCATGTAGCAAGCGAGCCCTACATTATCGAGAAGTACCAACCTCCACGCTTTTCGTAAAGTTTCAACAGATTCGGGATCATTAAGCAGTCCTAAAAGTTAAATATCACTGGTGTCCATCGAGTAGCTGCCATTCAGAAGAGAAAAACTAAACGATACCTAAACTCTTGCAAAGCGTTTCTTCTTTGCAAAATCCATCAGTCATAAAATTAACGACATTTTCACGTTCGTTCTCCGGTATATCCTGTATCCAAAATGAGGGCACCGTACCATTAATTTCTCTGAGACCTTTAAAACGCCGCCATACCTTGGGAAATGCGACTGATTGTGGTCTTGTCCAATTTGCAGTCTCGTCAAGCATTTTGCTCCACTAAACATAGATTAGCACACTTCATTTATAAATAGAAGTAACTACGCGCGGCGATTGGCTAACGTTTTATATAATTTAATTTTCCGTCGAGTTCAGTTGGCAGCAATCTGAAACATTATTTGTGCAAGGCTATTTTAAATTATGAAGTATAATTTTGCACAATCACTGTACTTTAAATTGTTTCATACGCAAAGTGTCAAGTTTAAGTACGTACTGTGCTGGAAGTGAGACAACGAAAAAAATATATTTTTTATTTAGTTACTTTTGATCTCTCTAAATTCAAATTTAACTCGTTCTGATTATAGTAGAACAAAAACACCAAAACCCAAGGGAGTCTCTTCTGCTCTCCTTCTAGAGATTTTTCCAAAACGTCACGAATTCTGCCAATACTTTTATCAATACTCGGTGTTCTACTGGAGTTTCAGCATGATCTATACCATCGTCTGAATGTACCCTCAGTTTCTGGAGTGAAACACGCGTTCAAAGGGGTTTACAGGGGTGCCCGCTTAGAGAAATCCCCTAAACGGAAAACCTCACTTCTCTGTTCCACCAGCGGTGCGATCTACGAGTAAACTCGTATGGTGCGATGATGGGATGTAGCAGAGGAATGGCGGAAAATAGTGCCGTGGCCACGCCATCTTTTTTAATTCTACGCACCATGAAGAATCATGTGTTATGCAGTCTTTCTAACGGAAGTCTGTAATGGATATAAACACAAATCTCAAATAGAAACATTTTTTCTATCCATCGGTCCACTATTATAAACATCGGATCTATTTATCTATTTGCCCATTAATGTTAGAACTGCTATTTACTCACTAATTTCGTTAAGAAAAAGATAAAACGCTCAGCCTCTTTAAGTAAATCGCGTAAGAGAATTGCGCTGGCATTGCCTTGAAACAATAATTTCGTTTTGTTATTAGTTATTAATTAAAATATACAATAATGCTTCATTTCTTTCTCATTTTTTGTATCCTCGTATCTTGAAAAGTGTATAAAGTACTGGTCGGTTAATTTTAAGAATTTGTATACAAATATTAAGAATATTCCTAAAAGAACCGACCAATGAAAATATGCATAAAATAGATTTGTATCGCGTTTCATTGCTAATAATAAAAGATTTGAACACCAACATCCAAGAAGAAATTCCCCACATAAAGCCTGCTATGCTGGCCAGAGTGATGACAAATATTAGAAATCGGTTTACTAGGAGAATGGGGGACGTCCCCTATCTGATTTGATCCTTCAAAACTATGTCAAACAAAACTTTAGGCATACGCCTATATAAACAAATACAACTTTTCTGCTTCATACAATGGGTTTTATTAAGTTTTGAAAACAGGAATTTATGCTGCCGCACATTGTACAACATGTAATATACTTTGGATTTCAATGGTACACTGGAATGGTCGCTTTCCTTACTAGTAAATATAGTCAAACTTTTTTATTAGGTCTCAATTTATTACTCATAGATTTTGTACATGTACTTTAAACCTTTGTGCTTTTCTTCTATACCTGGGTACTCGTATTTGTGGATATTTCGTAGATCCTCAAATGAGACTTCTGACAGAAGTTTAAATCCTGCTTTCTCGGCTAGGTACTGAGAAACACTGGACGTGAATACAGTTACGGATGCTTTAATCCCTAATGTTTTGCATATATTCTCCCTAGAACACAAATAGAAGTACAAATAGTTACACTGCAGGCATCCATGCTATAAAATATCAAAGTGAATTTCACTCAGGTGGTACAACTTCGTTTTAGGAAGATCAATGATGATGCTGAAATACTTAGGGAGAAAATCTGTAGGGAAATTACACTAGGAATTGTGGAAAATATGTATATGACCATCACGTCCTGGACCCCACAAGACTCTCGGACAATAATGTCGTCAGGAACCAAATTGACTATATTTTAATCAATATCAGATATAAGTCAAGCGTCCTCAAGGCAACAACTTACCCTGGAGTTGACATATCACAGATCAACCCAGTAACATCAACAATGCGCCTCAACCTAAGATAAGTAATACACGCAAGGCGAAGAATTGAACGTTCAGCTTCATCTCAACACCGCAATCCGATCAATCGAAAGAAGTAGCAATAGTGCAATCGTTCGGGCGTTCACTCAAACAGTGTACCTATCAATGAAACGGCAGAAACTCTGCTAAGACATCAAGCGTCGAAAAAGAAACAACGGTGGATGACCCAGCACATTCTAGATCTAATGGAGGAACGAAGAACATTCAAAAACAACAAGAACCGTACCAATAAGTACCAAGTACCAACAAATACAACAAAGAATCAAACAGGAAAGGGGAAGGAAAAATGAAAGGAAGAACATTGTGCAGAAATCGAAGAGCTAATCAAGAACAATGGTAACTTTAACCTGCACAAGAAGTTCAAGGTAACTGCTTCGCAAATTGATTCATCATGACACTACTTAAAGCACTTTGATCCAAAGGAAATGAAGCTTTCCGCCACAAATAGTCCAAAATGGAACATATTTTCCAAAATGGCGGTAATAACGATCACGTCTTGGAAAACGTCTCTTCAAATCAATATTTTAGAATATTGTATTTCCTGCAATGTGATTAACATAGTAGACAGGCGGTATATCAAAAAATCCATCTTTATTTATGCTAAAGAAAATGTTATTTAAAAAAATTATCGATGACGTCATATAGTCAGGGAGACATCTCTGAAAAGTGCATGTCTAACGGCGTTTTGTGCTACAAACTGGCAACAGCCGGTTGTAGACTAATTTGCCCACGCTCAAAACGACTCGCCCTGTTGCCAGACCCGATTTTGGCATTTAAGCCTTAAATCCAAGATGGCGGCCAAAATTGCCGTTTTTCGGTTATTTCGAGCCCCACAAGGCACGCCACTGAACGTTTTGGGTAGTTTAAGGGTAGAATAACATCTAGTACGCACGACGACACCGTTTAGGAGGCACACTTTCGTATTCATATTAGGGGCCTAAATGCTTAAAAACGTCAAAAATGCAAACATTCGTCTTTTTTTTTCTGGCCGGTTTTCGGAGTCCAATATGTATTCATATGGTCAAGTTAACATTTAAGTAAGTATGACCTCCAGCAGCGCCATATGCCTGGGGCCTAAATATCAAGATGGCGCCTGGAAATTCCAAAAAAAGTGAAAAAGTTGTTCTTTTTACCGTAGTTTTACTCATTCCCCATTTCGATGCCCTGGAGCAATAATATGCGAATTGCGAATACCATTCTGGATGTTACACAACTGAAGGGCTTAGCTGCGGAAGTGGGGACTTTTTTTAATTAAAACGTAACACTTGGCAGTCGAAACTGTTTAAAATATTGAGCACTAATACCTACTATGAAGAAGGTAGGTATTATGCAAGAATATGAACGTTACAGAGTTAAACGTTGTCTCTTGAAGCACTGACGTTTTCTCTCTGGATTGTTTTTGGCATATTACACATAGACTACTGTTAAAATCACCACCAGAGGATTATTCATGCTGCATGACCTACTGAAAACTGAAACAGTCAAATGGAAGCCATCATCGCGAATGAAGACATGAGCCCCATTCTACGATCAATAGAGATGTGACCTAACGTTTGAATAGAGCAACTTCATGTGTTAGAATGTAATGTGATATCATGTTAAATTAAACCGAAAAACGGCAATTTTGGCCGCCATCTTGGATTTAAAGGCTTAAATGCCAAAATCGGGTCTGGCAACAGGGCGCATCGTTTTCAACGGGGGCAAATTAGTCTAGAACCGCCTGTTGCCAGTTTGTAGCACAAAACGCCGTTAGACATGATTTAGAGAGCCTTTCCAGAAATGTCTCCCTGACTAATAGATCTGGCAAATATGGCTCAACAATTTTCAATCTAATGTCACAAAATTGCAATTTTCAAATACTAAACGAGGTATTTTTTCCTTTTTTCTGAAAACACAACAAGAAAAACGATAGATACGAATTTTTTGCGTTACCTACTCTTAAGGACGCATTGTATAAATAGTAACACTTGTTTCAACATTACACACCACTAGTCCAGTACAGTCTCAAAAAAGGAAAGTATATTCACAATCACATACCAATATTGAAATTCTGTACGAAAAGGGTAAGCTTACAAAGAAAGATGACGTATTATATTGCTAGAATGGTTTTTACAACAAGCGCAACGCAGGCTGTCCGGTATAAGTTTTCCTTTTACCAAAAAACCGTAAGAATGTGAATGGAGGGGAATAAACTTAAGGCTAGGATGCTGAAGGGACACATCCTTCTTGTAGTCCAATCCAGTACAGAGGATCCCACACTGCGAAAGATATCTACTTCGCACCATTCTATTTCGTAGTATCCTAAAATACCATGACCACTTATCCTTTTCCTATATCGATGGAGGTCATTTACGAAAACCGTGAAGTTTCGATTTTTCTAATTGTAAAGAATGCTCAACTTTCCAGCGGGAGATCTGCCGTGATTGATCAAAACGGTGCAGAACCCTGCCCGCCCGTTACCATGTCAAATGGCAAAACTGTGAAATTGCAGAGTATAAAGTTTTAAAGAAACCTTTTTTCCAGAGGCGAGCTCGAGTACCATTTGCTTACAGTTTTGGTCGCAATTTTGAATGCTGGGAACCTATTTACTTCAACGAAATGGCGCTAAGCATTAGCTTATCATCATCATACCGTTCAAATTATCTTTCATTCAATTTCCATGGAAACAAATATGTTTACATTGAATTTTAAGTTATCTATCAGGTAAGTATAACTGATAATGAATGATTGGTTATAAGTGGAGTAGGGACGAAGTCTACGGAAGAAACTGCTTCTTCATAATCCATTTTTTCTAAATGCGGAAGAGTGTCATAATATTATGATCGTATGCCTATGCCTACATTCATACATGCACGACACATACATGCTGCACTGACACCATTCAAAGCTGATGAATTTTGAAAATAAAATTTTCCATTTAAATTACCTGGCATTTAAAAGTTCCAATCCCAGACCGTGTCCCCTAAATGATGGCAAAACATATAATCCCAATGCAGACAGCAAAAAATCCGTTTCCAAAAATTCGAAAGCATTCTTTTCGTTCATTACCACGTTTAACGTTGCATAAATTTGTTGTATTTTGCTACCTGTAACCTAAATAGGAATATTGCAGTCGGCTCTTTTAATATATACAATTACGTTTACTTCTTCTTCGCATTTCTTTTTGATGTACGTACAATTAACTGCAGCCAAAATCGGTTCTCCATTAGGATCCGTATTTTCCATATAGCAAGCGAGCCCTACATTATCGGGCAGTGCCAACCTCCACGTTTTTCGCGCAGATTCAACAGATTCGGGATCATTAAGCAGACCTAAAAGTTTAATATCACTCGTGTCCATCAGCCATTCGCAACACTAAGACTAATCGCTACCTGAATACTTGCTAAGCGGTTCTTCTTTGCAAAATCCGCCTATCATGCAATTAACCACATTTTCACGTTCGTTTTCAGGTATATCTTGTATCCAAAATGAGGGAAGCGCACCATTAATTTCTTTGAGACCTTTAAATCGCCGCCATACCTTGGGAAATGCGACTGATTGTGGTCTTGTCCAAATTGCAGTCTCGTCAAGCATTTCTCCGCTGCTTTTAGATTAACGTTTCGACGGATTTAGCGTACTTCATTTATTAATAGAAGTAACTATATACTCGGCGGTTGGCTAACGTTTTGTATAATTTAGTTTGTACAAGGCTATTTTAAATTGTTGGGTACAATTTTGCGCAATTACTGTACTTCAAATTATTTGACATAGGTACAAGGTGTAAAGTTTAAGTAGGTACCTACTTTATGACATGTAGCTGTCCCAGTACCGCTTTGGAAAACCATGCCCACTTGTTTGCTATTTATCAGTGATGCTGGATGTGGGACAATGCACAAATCAGAAGAAATGTAGGTATAGTTACGTTATTTTTGGCCACCCAGAAGAAAAACACAAAAACCTAAAGAGAGGGGAGTGATATCTTTAAAACGTAGTGGTGCATAATAATTACATGCTTAGTCTTACTCGAATGGCCCCACCCCTAGAAGTTTTTCTTCCCAAAACGTCCCATATTCTGGCAATATTTGTATCAATTCTTGGTGTTCCACTGCAGTTTCTGCAGCTTTTTGAAATAACGATAACGAAATATTGCGACCAACTTTCTCCGCAAGGAACTACTTGTGGTGGTTGAACTTGCAAAAGTAAAACAAAAACGCCAATAAACTACAATAATATAAATAATATATTATTGTTTTTGTTTGACTTTTTCTCTAGAACAAGCACAAAAAACTGCGTCCCCCAAAACCACTACTTTTAAATCTTAAATAGTGACCCCCATGTGTGATACGTCGTTGGAAAGCTCTGAAAAAATGCTTTCCAACCATACCATAATAGCATTACATTTAGGTTAGTAATTATCGTGCAAATCAAAAATAAACTAATATGATACCTACATTTGAAATCTGTCGTATTTAAAACGCAACCGGCGAACATAGACGAACTTAAGACAGAGAATAATTCAAGAATGTGGAAATATTGCAAAACCAACATTTGAAAAGGTTCGACAAGAGTTTGAGAATAGATTATAACTGCCGATCAAAAATGAGTAGCTGTCGAGTCGGCTTTGGAAGTTCAAGTTAAATACGATTTTCCATGTAAACAAAAATTTCAAAGGGCGACTCGACAGCAACTCATTTTTGATCGCATAGTAATACTGTCTTACCAATAACAAAAAACATTTTGAACATTTATTGAAATAAAAGCCAACTTTAGAAAATGTATCATACTTATTAGTTTATTTTTTGATTTGCACGATAATTACTAACCTAAATGTAATGCTATTTGGTATGGTTGCAAAGCATTTTTTCAGAGCTTTCCAACGACGTATCACACATGGGGGGTCACTACTTAAGATTTAAAAGTTGGGGTGGCTAGGGCGCAGGGGGTGCGTCGCCAACTATGTCATTGTGATTCTCCCTCCGAATTACCGAAACGGATTTTGATTTTTTTAATATCTTGTTTATTTACTATGATATGGGGGGGGGGGGTAAGTTTTCAAATTGTCACCCTGTATATAAAACTCAATTACGCATTAAAGATCTCCAAATTTATTCAGAATCGACGAACTTTTAAAAAGCTAGATTTACTAAAATTTTGCTATGATCGACCCTTCAATTTGGACTCGGTATCCCTTCTCATACCCAGTATTTCACACTATGCAGCCCTTTCAAATTCAAAAATTCATCCCTATTCAAAAGCTGCCGTTACATCCATAAATATCTTTTAAGCTGGGTATCCATTTGTAACAAATGACTCGTAACATAACAAATAACATGGTACGCAACGTTGCAAAGTAACACGTCGTGTCTAGAGAATTTAAAATTTTTTAAAAAACGTTTACACCCTGGATTTAAAAACGAAGCAAGTTAGCACCTTTTATCTGGAACACTGAATCTATCTTCAAAACAACATTTTTTAAAAGAAGCTTTTTCAAAATTATAAAACTTTGCTACCAAGCGTTAAAATTGCAGTCAGTGGTTTTTTAATAGCAACCCCTATTTTTAATTCATATTCTGAAAGTGCACCCCTTTTTGGATATAGAGACGTTAAAAAGTTATTATATCACATAACCAAAATTTAATAGAAAAACTCAAAGAAGGAAAAATATTAATTAACACAATGATTTTCCTTAAATTGAGTTTTTTTCTCAAATTTGATTATGAAATATAATATATAATCGTTGCCATGGATTTTAAGGGACGCTTTAAGCTAAGCTCCGCTTAAATTTGTCGGGTGCAAACGGGCATTAATCTGAGAAGAATATTATAGAAGCAAAGGTTTTTTGTGTGTCGCTAACCAACGAAACCATACCTTTGTTTCTATTGGTTATGTTAGTAGTGAACTTGTGATAATAATTGCATAAGCCGAGTCATAAACCCACCATTACCGAATACACTTAAAAATAATTGTTTTGCTCTTATAGCAAAAAATAAAACATGACACATGAAAAGTTTTCGGATTTTACTGCCGCTAGTAGGTATATGCGTGATGTCGGAGTTTCATTGCAAAAAGTTGAATAACACAAAATCACCGTATGAAAACAGTAATAGAAAGTAACAGAAATAATACAAAATTGTATATACCTATAGACTTGAGACCCATGTATATTGATACAAAGTACCATCGTGATATTGTGTATAGGAAAATTCGAAAGTTTGTGTGTGATCACCCCAACCCCTACTGCTGGATTAAATCTTATATAGCTACATTCATAGACCAGACCAATAATTATTGGTGTATGCTATATTATAGAATATTGTAACAGCATCAGAACACTTTGTACATGTACTTCACGCTTTTATGATTTTCTTCTATTCCGGGATAGTCGTACTTATAAATGTCTCTTAAATCTCGGTACGAAATTTCGGATAACGTTTTATATCCTGCTTTGTGGGCCAACTCCTGTGAGATAGTGGAGGTGAATACTGTACCGGTCGCTGTAATGTCGCACGCTCTGCATATATTTTCCCTGAAACATAAATCATTGGCAGAAAAGCAACGAAATGTATTATTACCGCGCCAATAAGAGTTGTAATCCTAGATCTTGCCCTCTAAATTCCCGAAAGACGTACATGCCCAATGCGCACAGCAGGACATCCGTTTCTAATGTTTCAAAGGGATCATTTTCTTGAGTTAGTAACTTTCTTATGTGTCCAAAGTCGTTCATGGTTTTACCTGTTAACTGTCCAACACTGTTACAACAAACGCATTGAAAATACAAAGCTGTAGGATGCATGGAGAGTGTTTTTTCGTCTTATCCATAAAAATCAATTACGGTCTAAGCGGACAAACTGTTCGTTTTCTTTTTTTTTGTCAAAAAAGTCGTAAGAGTGTGAAATTTGGAGGAAACATAGCTTTTTTTATGACAAAAAAACGGTAAAGTTAAGACGTTTCAAAGATTTCACGATTTTTGAAAAGCACCTCTCTTCCAGGGGGTGGTGAAGAATCTATTTTTTTCATCGTACAAAACCGCGCGGTAGAAAAATTTTCGTAAAGACTTATATTTTAATAATCAAAAGCAAAAAATATCATTCCGATCCGAGAAAAATACAGTTTTTCGATATACACGTTTTTTGACAAGATAAATAGATGATAAATATTTATGTTATTAGCGAAACCTTCTTCGTAACGAAAGTAGAATGGGTTAGTTTCACTTAACATATTTTACAATAGTTATTTACACTAAAGTCAGGAAAATGACACATTACTGGCGAGGAAATATTGAAGTGCGAGGCCCTTTGGGGGCTTTGGGGCCGAGTACTTTAATTTCCGAGTCAAGTAATGTCATTTTACTGACGAGTTTTGTATTTTATTTTACCCGAAATCGTATTTTAATACAAAATTTCAATTTTTATAATATAACTTTTGATTAATGTCAATCTGTCAGTGATGACAGGACTCATTATAGACATTAGAAATGTCACAAATGAGGCCGGTAAAGTGAGAGTTGCGGCCAATAAACTGACAAGCGACAGGAAACGCAGCTGCTCTGCCTCTTTTATGGAAACCAAAATTTCCTGACAGAAAATAGGCATGAAAATGAAGGTTTCAGTACGATTTTGGGTAAAAGTTTGTAATGATACTTACTTTAAATTGCGGGTCGTATTTCGTCTGTACGTATGTACAGTTCACAGCTGCAAATATCGGTTTTCCATTCGGATTTGGGTTTTCCATGTAACATATCAGCCCCATCCGTTGAGCTAATGTTATATCCCATAATTTTTTCCTACACTGTACGGATTCAGGCTCATTATTGAAATCTAGGACAAATTCCAAATTCAATAAACTCCCGTAAGTATAAGCACGTGTAAATGCTCAGCGCCTGTTTTACTCCCTAAACGTTAGTTGTTGCCGAAAACGGAATTCGAAAATTCGTTTTCGCCCTTGAGCTATGTCGCACAGTAAGATGGCAAGATGGGAAAACACAACAAATAGTTATTAATGATACAAGTTCGTTTATGAAAGTCATAATGATAATAACGTTGTAACGTTCCAATAAAACATAATTGTTAATTAACTTTATTCCTATAATTACACATCTAACTTAATTTGTCTAGTCTCATTCACACCTCGATTATTACTACTCTACATTCTTCAGTCGTTCCTCAATCAATCACCTGTCCCCCTCCTTAACATAAACTTACATATTCTACAATAATTCTATTCTAGCTTCCACCACACGTTCCCCTTTTTATTTGGGAAAATTTTTATATAAAGGAAAATTTTCACATAATAACCTTTTGCTTAAGTATACTTAAATCTAATTGTACACATTTATTACGTATAGACAGCTGTTGTTACTAACCTACTACATGCTTGTAATATTGTATTCTGCAACTTTGCAGTTATTTACGCGCATTTCACTATCACGTTCGTATGCACATTTTTTAAATCACTCGCGATACAGTTTCACTCTGTCCTTGTGCACCGTAATTAGTTTATTATTTATTTTTATAATTACATTTGGGGATTTATCCTCAATCACCTTATACGGTCCCTTATACAATGGTTCTAATTTATTACTTATCTCACTTTTTAATAATACCCTATCATTAAATTTATACTTAAGATCATTGCGATTTTCATCTAACCTAGTTTTCCTATTCTGTTTTGATTTGATCAGGTTATCTTTTGCATCTTCCCATGCTGATTGTAATCGAAATTTTTAGTTCTATTGGATAACTTTCAAAATTGTATACAGGATCCAATTTCTCCAATATGTTGAGTGGTAAATTGCATTTTTTTCCAAAAACTAACTCGTATGGAGTATATTTGGTTTCCGTATGAACAGTATTGTTGTATGAAAAACACCAAAATGGAACCCACTTGCTCCATGTATTCTCATATTTATTTACCTGTATTCGTAGGAAAGCGTTTAAATTTTTGTGCGAGTTTTCTAGTGCCCCTAACGTTTCGTGGTGATACGCTGTCGAATTTATTTGATCTAATCCTAATAATTTTGCCGTTTCTTTAAAGACCTTTGCTAAAAATTCTGTTCCTTGATCGGTTACAATTTGTTCTGGTATTCCGTACTTTAAAATAAAATTATTTACAAATGCACGAGCAACTGTTTCGGCTTCTTTGTTTTCAATAGGTATCCCTTCGACAAATTTTGATAATTCACACTGTATAGTTAAAATATATCGATTGGTTTCGTTATCTTGATTCAAAGGACCTACCAAATCTAAATAAATCTTCTGAAATGCCGACGATGCCGTAGTTGTAATGGTAAGCGGTTGCTTCCGCTGGTTGAGGTGTTTGTGCCTTTGGCATTCATTGCATTTACTAATTAATTTAATAACATCGTCTTTTAAATTATTCCAAAAGTAATACCTCTTAATATTTGCATACATACGATTTATACCTGCATGACCACCAGTAGGGAGGATATGGAAGTCGTTTAAAATTAACTCTCTGGTTTCTTTACAATCAATTCGTTTGGCTTTACTAATTACACATATTTGAATTTTACATTTTTTAAAGAATTCGTTATTTTTTGATATCGTTGATAGAAGCGCTTCATTTGTTGTATCTTTAAAAATATGTAACTTCGGAATTCCGTATTTTTGGCTCAATCTATACAAAGAATTCAGCTCCGCGTCTAGGGCTGGTGCTGATAAATTACTTTGCTTAATATACAATATTTGTAATTTTGTGTCATATAAAATATTACCTAGGATAATCACATTTTTATTTCGAACTGCTTGCCATTCTCGATTATTAATTGTGCGTAATTCTACCGAATCCAAGGGGGCTTTCAATAACTCAACGATGCCAGGTTGGCCATTCCTGTTATCAGTTTCATTATTAAAATCCACCGGTGATTTAGCATCCTTCACCCTTTCATCCATTTGTGCTCTCGTTTGCGCCCTTGTTACCGCAAAAATATTTTCTGAATAACTCTTTAAATCATTGGAAGTCAATATTCTAGATAATGCGTCGGCAACAACGTTATCCTTACCCTTAATATAATGTACAGTAAAATTATATTCTTCTAAAATTAGTCTAAATTTTGTTAACCTAGAGGATGGGTTTCTCATACCAAATAAATATATTAATGGACGATGATCAGTAAAAATTCTAAATTCAGTGCCATACAAATATGGTCTAAAATGTTTCACCGCCCAAGTAATTGCCAAAAGTTCTTTTTCTATGGTGGCGTAATTACATTCTGCTTTGTTCAATGACCTGCTGGCGTATGCGATTGGCTTGTCATTTCCGTTACAAAGAATCGCGCCTATTGCAAAAGCGCTCGCGTCTGTTTTTAATATAAATTTATTGTCTACAGAAAAATTTGGAAATTCTAAAATTGGAGGATTTACCAAAGCTTGTTTTAATTTTTCAAACGATATTTGACAAGGCCTATCCCAATTAAATTGTTTACCATTTCTCGTTAAATTGTTTAAAGGATGGGCAATATCGGCGAAATTGGGGATAAATTTTCTGTAATAGTTAGCGAATGCAACAAATCTTTTGATTTCGTCTACGGTTTTTGGAACTGGATAATTTTGAAGAACATTGATTTTGTTAGGATCTGGTGCAATACCCTTTTCTGAAATGACGTGACCCAGATATAAAATTTCTTTTCTTAAGAATTCACATTTTAGTGGATTCAACTTTAAATTAACTTCTCTTAACCTATTTAAAACTTTAACTAAATTTCCGTTGTGATTCTGTAAATTATTTCCGAAAACAATTAGATCGTCTAGGTAAATAAAACAAGACTCATAATTTAAACCCGATAACGCAATTGACATTACTCTCGAAAATGCACTTGGACTCGTTTTTAATCCCATTGGTAAACGAGTCATTTGGAAAGACCCCTTACTTGTTGTAAATGCCGTGTATTTTCTACAAGACGGTTCCAACTCAACTTGATAATAACCCTGGGAAAGATCTAGATGAGAAAAATAAATTGCTCCTCCTAAAGAGTCAAGTATTTCACAAATATTTGGCAAAGGAAAGGTGTCGTTTTCTATATTTTTGTTTAACTGTCTGTAATCTATTACCATGCGCCATTTCGTACCTTCCTGACCGTTCGCCTTTTTTGGAACTATTAGTACCGGTGCTGACCAATCTGACCTAGATTTTTCAATAATTTTATCTGCAAGCATTTGATCAACTTGTTTGTTTATTTCTACCTTTTGAGACTGTGGTATCCTATAGGGTTTTATATAAACTGGTCGCGCATCTTTCTTAAGTACAATTTTTTCCCGCATAATATTGGTAACGCTAACTTTGTCGTGTTCTAATAAAAAGACGTCTGCATACTTTGCACATATTCTCTGGATGCTATTTCTTTCATCAGCATTTAAATTTTTTACATTAATTAAATCTAACAATTTATCTACTCTATCTAAACAAACTGAATTGTTATCGAAACTATAAGCATAAAAATTTGATAATTCGGTTATGTTAGGCTGGAAATTTCTAATTTTCACCTCGTGCTCATTTGTATTTAATAATCGTATGGGAATGCGATTTTCGCAAGGTTTGACTATACTCCCTGCTACATACACGCCCTCGGTAATCTCATATGGTAATGCTACACTTTCTTGTAACGTATCAACCCTAAAATACTTTATAACTTCACATCTTGGCGGAATGATCGTAACGGCATTGAAATTAGATTCTAAGGGAACTGTTGTAGTTATGTTATGATCGTATAAGCTAATATTAAAATTTCCATAATCAATCATTGCTTTGTATTTGACAAAAAAATCCGACCCTAACACTCCCTCAAAATCATCTGTAAATTTATCGATAATATAAAAATTGTTATTAATCTGCAAATTTTTTAGACCTAATGAAAGGTTAACAAATCCTTTCGATTTTAGTGACCCAGTTATTCCATTTATCGTGACATTTTTATTTGAAATATGCCCTTCATCTCCCTTTAAAACGTTATCAAATATTACACTAACGGACGCCCCAGTATCGAGAAGAAGTTTCAATCTCTTGCCTAAATAACTAACAGTAAGATAATTTAATCCATTAATATTTAAAATAACCTCAAATTTTTCTTTAGGGACGAAAAAATTTTGTTGGCGCAGAGCTTGTTCCACTTTCCGCTTTATCGACGTTGCAAAAATTAATATTGCGATTTCCTGATTGCATATCTTTTGACCCCTGCCGTGCAAATTGCTGACCATTTCCTACCGCATGTCTATTACGATATTGCCAACTTTGATTATTGCGATATGAACTTTGATTTTGATTATTCCGATATGAACTTTGGTGAACCGGAAATTTTTTGTTACTGATGGCGTTAAAATTTTGAAAACCGAAATTATGATTTCCTTTTGGTGGGTGCCAATAATTTTGAGTTTTTGGAATAAATGGCCTCTGAAATTTATTTTGAGAAAAGGTTCTATACCCATTTTTGTTGAAATGAAATATATGAGACGTAGTGGGCCTATTTAATTCTTCGTCTTTCGCGACTGTAATAGCGTCTTTTAATTTTTCGCAGTTTCTAGCCTTTACAATGGTGCGTAATTCGTTACTTTTTAAGCCGTTACTGAAGGCATTGATAGCGATTTTTTCATTTACTCCTATCAAAACAGTTAATGCGTTCTCGTCATCCCCCGCTTGGGCTAAACTTAAATGACTCATTAGCTGCTCTATTTTCTCGCCAAATTTATCTATGGATTCGCTTCCCTGTTTTACTTGTTGTAATTGATTAGCTAATACAGTGGCAGATTTTTTCGAAATAAAATTTGTGCTCATATCTTTTAATAAGGAGTCTACGCTCGTATAAGATTTACCAATTCTCACTTTGGCATTTTCAGACAACCTAGTCTTTAAAACGTAATTAATTAAAAATTTTTTCTCATCTACTTCCAGCATGTCTGAATATAACCTGATCGAATCTATGAGTTGTTTAGTTACTTCCTCCGTACCATCCATGCGTGGTAACAAACTGCACGCCGTTTTTAGATTAAATTTCTCCATAATCCTAACTGATTTTTGCCTACTCTCTAATAACTTACGTGTATCTTTTAAAATTTCCTCGATTAACCCTATGGTATCCCTAATTTTAATCGCAATTTCTGTACTCGCCGATTCCTTAAATTCTTTGAAAAAATCTAATTTTAATCCATTTAGTTGCAGAACGTACTGCCCTAATTCCTCTAATTTTCTACTATTATAATCTGTATTTTGTCTTTTTTCCTGATTATCCTTAATTCTATTACATTTAAACCTATTGGCGTCATTAAGCAAACTTAAAAAATCGACTAATTTTACCATTACTAACTAAGTGAGAACTATTCCTTTTTTGATTTATGCACATAATTAAATAAAAGTCTGTTTTCTATTTGTCGCTTACGTGTGGTTACCGCTTAAAGCTGCGATGTTCCCCGGGATGCTGCCGATGGGACTGCTAATAGTTGGTGGCTGCGTGCTACTTCTCGTCTTATGGTGGCTTCCATATGCCGCCTAATTCTCGTCCATAGACGCATTATTATTACCCGAACCGGCCGCTTCAATTATTATTTGTTCTCGAGTTCTTTGCGAACTACGGGAATTACACATGTTATCACTAGGTTAATTATTTATCCCTTAATAACTGGTCCTTTTAGGCAGGATCGCCATGTAACGTTCCAATAAAACATAATTGTTAATTAACTTTATTCCTATAATTACACATCTAACTTAATTTGTCTAGTCTCATTCACACCTCGATTATTACTACTCTACATTCTTCAGTCGTTCCTCAATCAATCACCTGTCCCCCTCCTTAACATAAACTTACATATTCTACAATAATTCTATTCTAGCTTCCACCACAACGTGTATCATTCAAAATTTAACTACGACGGTCCAAATAGATTTTAATCAGATTTTTTAGTTATCTAAACATTTTCATAAATTATGATTCAAAATTATCAAGTGCCCATACGGCCATACTAGTCGATGTCATGGTAATCGCCTTTGTCAATTTTGACGTCTGCTATAGAAAATAGTAGTAATCATCATTTACCTGAAACCGTCAAGAAAATCTAAATTTCAGGGCTATTACTGTAATATTTTTACCTGACTCCCATTACAGTCCTAGTACATGCAAAATAACTATTAGATCGTTCACTGAATAAGTTCAATCAACGATTGGATAATTATAATGCAGACTATGTGGATATTTTTAAACATTAATATACCTACACAAAGGATAATGTTTTTTTTAATTACTAACAATTAATGGAATATGTGTGGAAATAATTATTCCTTTAGTTTTGCGCCAGTCAGTAAAAGGTTTGTACGCCTTTTCGTACCTCTTTCTTGACTTTGTGGGGAGCGAATTGCACTACGACGGCCGCAGCTTCGGCTACATTATAACAACGTCTCGCGCAGGTACTCTTCTTCACTGATACCTGCTTTAGTACATAGTTATAAAGACTGTATAGTTGAAAAGTACAAAGCATAAACTGCAAACTGCATTAAAAATGACACTGATTGTTTTAATTATTTTGAAATCTCTATGGAAACAATTAAATAAAGTGATTTTAGCATGCGTGATTAGGTATCAAAATTTCACACATATGAATAATTTAATTTGGAAAAGTTATCTACATGTTGCGGTTTTAGGTAAAATTTTATACATAATATGTCATGAAAGTGAGTCCACCTGACTTGGAGGCATTAAAGAGATACTCGGACGCTGCGCGTCCTCGTACTTTTCAATAAGCCTCCGCGTCATGTAAACGACCACTTTCATGACTTATTATATAAAATAACTATTGCGTGCTTTTATGAATGCATAAGAACACTAGTGCTTTTATGAAAGCCGGAATGACATCCATTTGGCCATGCTAAATCTGTCATAATGACACCATCGTAGATTAATAATATAATAGTATGCTAATCGCTACTGCTCAGCATATTAACAATTAACGTTTATCATTGCACTGACCCATGCCTAATGAAATTTAGGTATTATCATTGAAAAACAACTGGGCATTTTTAGCTACAGTGAATTTGAACGTTCAATTTAAAAACCTGGTATATAGTGCATATCTACCTGAATGTTTGGTAACGGGTTCTTCTCTGCAGAAATACCGCACCATGCAACTAGTAACATTTTCAAATTCATCTTCCGGTATATCCTGCACCCAAAATGACGGCACTATACCGTTCAATTCCTTTTTCCCCTTAAACTTCCGCCAAATGTTAGGAAATGGTACACTCCCCGGTCGCGTCCAATAGCAGATGTCAACCATTACTTTAGATCAACCAAATCTAACTAATGTAAACACATTGCCTTCCTTTCACTGTATATATGCTTTATAGATATTAATTTCGAAGCTCATAATTTTTCGGGTGAATACGAAGATAATTAAGTGGGTAGTCGCAAAATCACGTCCTAACTATCACCCATTCAAAAGGTTATCATCGCGCCGAGGCAAACCGACATACACAAAAGCGGTTAACGTTGAACTAAGCTAATTAATCATTTTTGGTCAAATGATGAAAGGCTGAATAAATAATATAAGAATTAGGACATTTCGCGGCCCACTGTGACAAATTTTCGCCGGTTAATTATTGTGAGCCACTGCATGTGGATGAAACGAGTACTTCTTATATGTATAGTCAAACAAATCGTCAACAGCAAATGGAACCATCATAGATAACAACATTAACAAACTCAATTTGGTCTCGTTGATAAGATATGCAATCTATTTGATGCACTTTGTAAGGTCTTTAACATATTGATGTGGGGCTTGTTGATCAACTATACAGGGAAAACATATCAGATGAACATTTAAGCTTGAGAAACTGTAAACAACTATTCATCGTACAGCAAATTTTAACAGTTTGTTAGCAGCCAAAAACCTTGTACAGTTTTTGTATAAAGGGTATACAACATTTTTCACTATGAAAGTTTACATTTTATTTCCCATAATAAGCCAGCATTCAGTTTTTTTTATTTCAGAAAACAAATTACTAACGAAAAACAATTGAATTTTTTTAAATCGCAGTGCACCTTTTCAATAGTCTCATTAATAATAATAAATGGTCTTTTATTGGATAGTGTATAAAATATACATAAAACATAATATAGAAGGAAAAACAAAACATAATGTTGATACCCTCCAATGGGGCGCAGTTCAGATGGGGTACATGACCACACATCTGCTCTTCCACTTAACCCCTCCAATTTAATTAACTAAACAACAAAGTGGAATGAAACTAACTATATAATGATGTGAAGCGTATGATTAACATACATATGGGAATGACGATTGAACAAAACCGACAAAAGAAAATATTAATAATGCGATGAACTTCCCCCTTAGCTCGTGCACCAACGGTAGCTTAAATGATGAAAGCACAATTAATTCAAGTTCGTTTAATTGACTACTAATTATACCTAATTGTACAATTCAATTATCACACCGTAGACGGTCGGTCGGTCACTCGGGCGCCACCAAGACTTATCTCTGCTCCCCCGAAGTCTTGGGAAAATGGGCGGTCTTCTCGGATGGGGTGGAAAGCCTCCGGGTATTCTCAAGTGGAGAACGGAATATACCAGGGATCGGTCAGAGTTCACCACAAAATGGCGGCGGTCACTTCCGGATTATCTAAAACAAAATATGGCCGGCGGCCCTGACGGTAAATTTCCTAAAGGGAATAAAGCAATAAAGCACAAATCAATTAGCGGTGTCTAGGGGAAAGAAAAGCGGAAAAGCAAGGAAAACAGAATATAATGAAGCTTAGCGGAACGGTGGCAAAAGTTACGGTAGTGCAAAAAAGGTAAACTCAAAACGGTAGTTAAACGGAAAGGACAACGGATTGACTTACGGTCGCTCAAACGGTAAAACAAAAGGGTTTCGGTGGATTCGGAATGATACGGTTTCGCAAATTAAAGAAATCAAAAGGCGTACTTACAACTCGAAAGTATGAAGCAGAAAAGATCCCTCCCAAATTGAGCGTTTTCCTTTTAAAGGAAAACCCATTTTGGTAGAAGTGGAACATGGAATTCCCAAAGCCTCCCTGCATTCGCACCGAGCGGTGTAGAAAATAATTCGGTTTTTAATTAATTGCGGCTCCTGTGGTTACCTTAAAAATCTGGGACAACTTGCAAACAATTACAAAAATTACAGCGCCTCTGTGGACACCTCTCTCGACGGTTTCTGACAAGGTTTACTACTGCCCACTAACATGGCATTAATTAACAGCGCTTACCTAATTAAGCGTAATCAAACCTAAGTACTCATAAATCCAATCTGCAACTAGCTCCCTTGGACTTTTTCTTCTCAAACGGCGCTATCGCTTTAAGACTCTTATCGCAACATGCAGGCATACGGACGGGACTGCAAAACTTGTAAACAACTAGATTTGAACTCGTTCTATCCTTGATTTTACTTATTATGGGAATCTAAAACATCTTATAAATAATTAATGGCGCTGAAACCAAAGAATATTAATTGTCCCTCATCTTCGCCAGGACAACATCCTTCGGTGGTTACAAAAATAATTCCAAAATTCCAACAGGAGCGGTCGTAGGCGGACTAATTAATTACGGTATCTCCATGGCATTGCGGAAAATGCTCAATATCACGGTCTTCTGGCGTAACGAAGCCCAAACCAAACGTTACTATACAGGGTGTTCCTTGTAAACGGCAAACTAAACGTAGAAATTCCGGGTGCTTCGTTACAAAGCGATTCACACAAAAGCACTTTTAAATGCCGGCGTAATAAATGTCTATTGTAATAGATTAACTTAAGATTAGCAAATGCTCTGCGACTAATATCAGTCACATGTTGCTTAAATCGTAAATCATAGTACATTTGCAATCCCAAGTTCTTAACGCAGTGCTTCGCAGCTAGTAGAGCATCATTGATTTTAATGGTAATAGTATCAATGTGAAGGTTCCTAGGTTTTTTTGGCCCGAACAACACAAATGATGATTTTTCAGGATTTATTTTACGATCAAACGAACTTACCTGAAGTTCGATCGTAATTATATGAAGCATCCATTCCGAAGATATCACTAATTAACAACGTAGTTCGGTTTCTGTACCACCATGCCACAAGATTTAAAAGCAAACAAAGTCCCCCCTTCCGGCCCATACTCCGCACGTCTCAATACTCTCATTGTATTCAAAGTGAGAAGAGTTTTCGTGCAACGGGGCCCCGGGTGGGTGGGAGGTGATATCTTCGGAATGGATGCTTCATATAATTACGATCGAACTTCAGGTAAGTTCGTTTGATCGTAAAATTATATTTCAGCATCCATTCCTTCAGATATCACTAATTAACAACGTAGATTTTTAAAGATAAGTTGCAGCGACAAACTCTTTAATGACCAACTAGGCCAACAGAAGTAACATCAACTTAACAAAACATTCTCAAAAAGCAAAAAAGCGTCTAAACGCCTAAGTTCAGGATTGTTGACACATAGGAGACCGAATTCGTCAGGGGACGATTGTAGAAGCGAGCAAAAGTTTCGGAATCCTTACTCCATCCCGCTGTCTGTTTAATTTGCTCAATGGGGACTCCTAGTCTACACGCCGCTGAAGTCGATGCGTGGCGTGCCGAGTGGGATTTGAACTGGTTGGTGTCTACTCCCGCTAAGTGAAGAATCTCCTTCACCCAACGACTAAGCGTCTGTTTCGTGGCAACTCTGTGGGGTTTCTTAAAGGTTAGAAACAGAAAATCCTCTTCGTTTCGAAGGCCACGTGTTGCATCTAAGTACGCCTCAACAGTGCGGGCCAAACAGAGATTAGCGTTGTCAAAAAAAGGGATCTTGAGAACCGGCTGGGGCCGGTTGACGCCTGAGGTCTTCAGAAAATCCGGTATAAAGATACGTAAGCCATCTTCGGATCTCTGAATACCCGAAACTTTAATCAACGAAATTGTCTGCAGGCGCTGGCCGGTCGCAAGAACAAATAAGGTGGCTAGTTTTCGTGACAGTCCTTTCAGGTCCGGGGTTTGCATCCCTGCAACGAAAGCCAGCACGGGTTGTGGGTCCCATGTTGTATTGTACTTTGGTTTTGATGGTCGCAAACGTGACAAACCTCGCATGAATCTCTTCACCAAGGGGTCTTCTCCCACTGATCCCGGCAAGATGAGCGAAAGCGCTGAGCGATGGTTATTAAAGGAGCCATACTTACAATGACCGTTGTTGAGCAAATCTTGAAGAAAGGACAGCACATTTTTTGCTGTGCCAGTAAACGGATAAATGTTCTGCCTCTCACAAAAGCTCCACCAAAGCTTGTAAGAAGTCGAATATTGTTTAATCGTAGCCGACGATAGGGAGGTAAGAATGGTGTCTAGTGTTTCCACCGGGGCACCTTTGCGCTGTAAGGCTTCGCTGATACAACTGCTGCCACCAGGGAAAGCGTATCCGACAATGGGTGGCGGGCAGAACTGTAAGGAGAAAAAAGCATGTCATTACTAGGCCCCAGTTCCAGTGGTTCTCGGACCAATAACTTGGTGAAAAGAGGGTACCACGGTTGAGAAGGCCAGTTTGGTACTATGATAATGCCCTCGGCTTTGTCACCAAGTATCTTTTGTAAAGTGCGTAGGGTGAGAGCAAAGGGGGGAAAGGCATAGAAAAAACTGTCACCCCAAAAAACTGTAAACGCATCTACCCCCGCTGCCCCAGGATCTCTAAATCGTGAAAAATAGGTCTCGCATTTTGTATTATGCCACGAGGCAAAGAGATCTACCTCTGGGGGGCCAAACCTAGCGGTTACCGTATTAAACGCAGGCGACGAAAGGGACCACTCTGTTTCCGTCGAAAGACGGGATTCAGCATCCGCTTCCCAGTTGTCAGCTGACGAAATGTAAGAAGCCACTATCCAAAGATTTTTTGATTCACACCATTGCCAGATGTGTCTGGCAAGATCAGACAGTTCTGGGAAACGTACGCTTCCCATACGATTGACGTAAGAGATCGCCGTGGTATTGTCTGATCTAATGAGGACGTTGTCGTTTCTCAAGTCAGCGGCAAAGCACTTCAGCCCGAAAAAAATGGCCTGAAGTTCCAAAAAATTGATGTGTTTTTCTCTCTCCGCCTCCCTCCACCATCCATGAGTACGTTCTCCTGCCGCACAGGCCCCCCAACCTGTAGTGGATGCATCCGTATAAACTATTAATGAAAAGGAGTCTGGTCTTATATCATTAAAAGAACTGTCAATGTGCTTTTCCCACCAGAGAAAATCTGACTTTAGCTTTACCGAAAGAGACATTTTCGCGCTGTAGTCAAAGTTGTTAACTTTAAGAGCCCTGACTTTCTCGCGTTCGAAACGCTTCGTGTAGAGCCAGCCGTATTTCACGGCCGGACAGATCGAGACTAGTAGGCCAATAAATTGAGCAAACTGAATGATTTTACACGATTCCCGGATCTGAAAAAAATGAATCCAGTTTTTTAGTTTCTGCCGCTTGTCGGGCGGGAGCTCAATTTTTAGTTCCGTGGTGTCTAAGACAAAACCCAAGAATTTGCAACGGTTACTCGGTATCAGAACACTTTTTTCAGTGTTAACTATGAAACCCAGAGAAGTCAAGAGCTTATATGTAAGAGAAACATTTTTGGAACAGTCCTCAAAAGTTTCTCCCAGAATTAAGAAGTCGTCAAGATAATTGACACAAGTCACCCCTTCTTCTCTGAGAGTCTGGGTAATAGGTTTCATGAGTTTAGTAAAAGTATATGGTGCC